TTGCCCGTCTGGTTCCTTAAATAAACTTCAGCTGGTACAAAATGCGGCAGCAAGAGTTCTCACAAACTAAAAAATTTGATCATATCACACCAGTCTTATCCTCCCTTCATTGGTTACCAGTTAAGTCTCGGATTGACTATAAAATACTGCTGTTAACCTATAAAGCACTGAATGGCCTTGCACCAGACTACCTTAATAATCTGCTGACCACATACAACCACTGGGGGCTTTGGGTGGGGATGCTGTAAAGCGCTTTGGGACAATGTAATGTGATAATGCGCTATACAAAAATAAATTTGTTGTTGTTGTTGTTGTTCATTTTGTGTTTAAATGCTAAAAAAAACATATTTAGGTGTAATTTTTTGGGGCCGGGAACCAATTAATTGATCTTGCATTATTTCTTATGGGGAAAATTTGATCTCAACTCGAACTTTTTCGGATTCGATCCGGAGTTCTGAACGGATTAAGTTAGAGTTCTGAGGTACCACTGTAATTGAAAAGCCGAACACTGGGATGTTTTTAGAGCGATGTAAGAACTCGTCTCTTTCCTGGATGTTGTCTCACTGCTGCAAAACATTTTGGAATTTATAAGTTTCCAAACAAAGTCTTCCTGTGGAACAAACTTCAGAGCATTTTGACGTAATTGATTTAGCATCAGAACACAATGAACTACACGCCTTGGTGGAAACCGCGTTTTGGCCACCAGGGTAACTGGATCCCACTGTCAGCCGGTGGTGGTGATGCTGAGGTTTGGGTTGTCATTCGTCACAGAGACCGTCGGCCATGGGCCGTCATTAAGTGAAGCTGAAGCAGAATAGTGTGGATGTGCATTTTAGTCCCTGCTGAAGCTGATCTAGTTGTCGACAGGATGTCAGGATATGCGCAGCGTTCCAGCAAAGCTACCGGAGAACGGGCTGACAGGAAGAACTTCCAGCCCTCCTCCTGACAAGTGCTTAACGAGACCTAAAGGGGTTTTCAGGCTAAATGGCTCAGGGATATTAAGCTGTTAAAAAAGAAACTGACAAAACTGTTCAGTGTCGATGTGAGAGACATTACTGTGAGGGATGTTCAGTTACAGTCATGACTGCTGAGGGACAGTGTTTCATGTAATGTGTGAATAATTGCTGATAATTTATATAGTTTGTAAAGTGTTTGAAGCAAAGATGTCACACAGAAACACACTGATTTTCTGTTTGGAATTTGGTTATATAAATAAATTGTGTTTTTCAAACATATGTACATACATACCAATATACAGGCCAACCTCATCAAACATCAGAGCTGATTCTGTTTGTGTCATTGTAATTAGTGATGTTAAGCGTTTTTTTTGCAGATTTGTTTGCTTCCAGTTTTCCAGGCGATGTTTATTGTCTCTGTTGTGCAGCAGTGTTGATGATGAGGTCTGTTAACCTAGCTGTCCCTCAGCAGTCTGACTGGCTCTTAATGAAACAGACAATCCCGGCTCTCAGCAAACGATATGCCCTTGTGTGACGCCCGGCTATCTCTCTAACCTGGGGAGGCTTGGTGATGTCTTCATTCCGTGCGGTTATGAAGGGGTGCTGTGGATTATTTTGATGCAACAGTCACTTGGAGATTGGAGCACTTTTATAGAATGTATTATGAAATACTTGGGGTGACAGTTGTTTAGTTCAGGGT